GGGCCAACTCTCACTCCGTTTTGCTCCTTACTGCGATAAAAGCTCTCTGGGGGGAGAGGCTGTTTGCATAAACTTTATGCTTTTTTTTTTATTATTTTTTCCCCTTTTTTTTTTTCCTTCTTCTTTTTTTTCCCCCCCTCCAAAAGTCAGTTTGGCAATGAAAAAAAACTGGATCAGTTTGCAAGTCGGTTGCCCACGGGTGCCCCGCTGCTGACCCGCGGGCTGCCCGGCGTGCGGGTGCCGGCCGGCTGCTCTGCTCCACCCCAGCCCTCGGCCGTGAAAGGCTGGCACACGCAAGATGAGGGGGAAAAAAATAAAAGAGAGAGAGAGAGAGAGAGAACACATACCCAATTCTGCATTACTGTGCATAAAAAAGACCTGCCTTACAAATCCTCCTAACATTTATGTTCCCAATGTATGAATTATTAATATTTAGTATCTGTGACTCACTAATATTTACTCTGGGAAGTATTTTTGTAAAGTTTGACCGGTTTTCTCGATATAGGAGCTAATGGAGGCTCGTGTTGTTAACAGCCAGGGAGCCCTCCCTGAACAAACTTTTCTGGTTACTGTTTAAACTGGGCTGCTGGGATCTTTTCTGACCCTGAACCTCTAACGCTGCAGCACCAAGGCTGGCCCGGATCTGCTGATGGCTCTGCTGAGACGGAGCTAATTTTAAATCTGGATCTCAAGGCAAAGGAAAAACCTCTCTTTTACTGGCAGAACTGTCACAGTCGAACGCAGTGTTCAGATTACGGGAACAGACTGCGAGAGAACACACACACAATCCCTTTTTTGGCCACTTGGCATTAATTTTATCTGAAGTCATGGATTATATAAGAAAGGAGCGGAGACCTCACACAAGTTTCTTCTCCGCCAGTGAAAGACACCCTGGTGCCAGGAAGCCCTCTGCGCCGAGCGCGCGGCGGGGAGCCGGCCACCTCCGCACTGGGACATGGACCACCGCGATGCGCTGTGCAGTTGGGGACATCCCCAGCGCCCCCTGCGGTGGGGTCCCCCAGCACCCATCACCAGCACAGAGCAACCTAGCCTCAACTGGCCCTATGCAGCAGGAGAAAGTTAATTTTTGGTTTCACAGGACAAGTCAATTCAAAGCAGAACAGCTATTGCTGGCTTATTGCTCCTACCTTCCTGCCTGGGGGGCAGAGACTGTGCTGGAGAACCAAGACTCGTCAGAGAGGGAAAAAAGATGTGTTTGACCACAGATTTTTCCATCAGACCTTCCATTCCTGCCATAGTCCCATCTGTGGACGCGTTTTCAGAGCTACGTCCTGAGCTGTCCACAATACCAGCCATAGCTTACTTCTTAAGTACTTTTTTCCTGTCTTTCTTAGGAGCTATTGTCCAGTGTTTTTGCAAAAACCTCTAATGATGGCCTGAAGTGACTGCGCAGTCTGTCTCTTCCAGTGAGAGAGCTTTCCTAATGTTCGTTCTCAACGTTTCCTACTGCAATTTAAGGCCACTACTCACTGCTCAGCCAGTCCACTTTGGGCTTGAAGATCAGACGGTCTCTCCTCTGTGCAGTACCTTCTGCAAGAGCATATTCTGCAGGAGTCACATCCCTCCCCCTCTTTGTTATGCTTGAACAATCCCTCCTCAGAGGGATTTATCAGAGACTGTTTCAGTTCTCAGATCACTGCTTTCTTCTGGACTTTCCGCAGCTCATTGCATAGTTTTCAGTCAGTAGTGTCCAAAACTAGGCACTCTACTGAACATGAGACCTTAGCAGCGCCGAGGAAAGCTAAGAAAGAGATTCCTTGCGTGTCGTGCAGGCTGTATCCCCCTTTGCACATCTGAGACGGTATTTACCTCCTTGGCCATAGCGTGATGCTGTTGACTCTTGTTTATCTCAGTCTGGCTGAGCTACTACCTTACTGGTGGTTCTCCATCCTGGATTTGTGTCTTTTGTTATTCCTTGTATTTATCCCTTCTGAGCATCAGCCTATTTTTGCAGGCTGCTTCTCCAGCTTTTAGAGTGATTTTTGAATTGAAGCCTTATCCTTCAGCCCACTCCCAGTCCTCCTCAGCTCTGTGCCATCCACAGATTTAATAAGCTTATTGTCTATTCCGCTGGGCACTTTTTTAATGAAAACACTGATCAGAATCAGGCTAAAACCTTATCCGGAGGGCAGTACTGCATGGACTTAAATAGATGAAATGAAATAGATTTTCACTGCGGACCACGAGAAATACTCTCCAGACACAGTTACTGATCTGTCTTGGAGCCACCTTGCATTCATCTAAATCATATTTTGGTTATAAGCACATCAAGTGAGACAGTGTCAAAAGCCATACTGCAGTCAATCTGTATCAGATTTTACTGTTTCTTTCCTACTCACAAGGCCTGTTACGCTGTTAGAAAAGGAAGTTGGGCTGCTTTTATGACCTGTTCCTGACAATAACCATATCGAACACCTACTCCTAGCTTTCCTTTCTTCCCATTGCTCACCAATATTTTGATTACTTGCTCCAGATTTTTCTTGTTTTTCTCTTTTATAGACTAATCTATAATTCCTTCCCTTGAGCCAAGCCATTCACATCTTTCTACAGTAAGTGTTTTGCCAAGTTACTAAGTGGAGACTGGAAGGGTAGCAATTCACCCAAGGTCAGAGCAGAGTCATGTTAAACTCTGAGCAGCTCCTCTGAAATTCCTGGCAGAGCCCTGCCCCGACACTCCTGGCTCTAAGTCTTGGGACAGTTTCACTTTCAAAATTGTCCTGAATGGTAGCTTTTTTTCAAAAACTGATCCTCTGTCCTCTTGGTATAGTTCATAGATGTACTGTGAGAGATTTCGTCTTACCTTGCTGCACAGGTGCAAAAGGTGGATGTGCAGACACGAACCCTGGAGAAGAGAGCTACAGAAATGAGACCCCCCCCAAGGATCTGCATCAAGTGCTTCTCAGCACAGTGTATGTTGGCAGCTCCTCTCGCGGGGTCACTGGTCACCCACAGCCCTCAAACTGGAGGAGCCCCAAGCCTGCCACAATCGACCCTTATTTGTAAGGAATTGTAAAGACCTGGGTTTATTTTATAAGCCAGTGCCCTCATCTCCTTGAGCTTTTAGCTGTAATAGCCCATCTGAGCCTCTGACTTTTAGCCCGCTATAAATAGTCTTATATTCAGTTTGACACTTAATAGCACTAAGATGTGCTTGGCTATGAAGCGGATGATGAGGGGAACTGCATATAGCATTGGACTGCTCACACGGTACAAACGGTGAGGAGCAAACATTGCAGAGGAGCGCTGCATAAGGGATACCTTGTCTGTTGATTTAACTCCATAACCCTATTTTAACCACTGTCAACAAGATATAAGGGTGGTTTCTGCTTACAGTGAGGCTTCTTTGCATTGCTCTATCCACACCCTAAAGTGGGATAAATGTCTCCTAAGTGCCTTAAAGTAGGTCCTTAGTAAAAATGAGAACCAACCCCACCGTTTGCAAAACGGCTTTGAAAACATTGCCCTGGTGCATCCTATAAATGAATGTGGGTTTTTGAAAGGACGCACACACAAGGTATGTATGCCCAGTGCTATACATAGCCTCTGACGGCCTCAGCGCAGGGTTGGGAAGAGGCAAGCCGGGAGGCACGGCAAGAGGCAACAAGAGGTCTCACCCGGGAACGCACCACCAAACAGAGCGGGGGGAGGTCCAGTGTCCCACTGGCCCAGGAGGCTCTAGCTCCCATTTCCACCAGAGCCTCTTAACCACCCATGTCCAGCCGCAGCTTCAATAAGCTTTGAGGCAACTTTCATCCTTCAGCTACAAACAGTGAGACCAAGGGTACCAGCTCCCTCCCACCTGTAGACCACTACCCTTTTCTCTCCTTTTCCCTCCACTTACATTCAACTTCCAGTATTTATATTCCCTTCATTAAAGCATAAACCTGAGTCACACCCCCCAGCTGAAAGAGGAGGGGGGGGGGGTACAAGAAGAGTCATTTTGCTCCTACCTCTTTTTGTTTTGTTCCAAGTCTTCACTTACCCAAACTGCACATCTAACGTTTGGAAAGAAGACATAGCTTTGCATGTGACACTCTCAGTAACACCTCTTTTCGTCAGCAAGCAGAGGATAACGCGTGCGGCTCAAGCAGGAGGAGACAACTGTTAGGAGAACCAGAGCCAGCGTCCAAGAGCCTGGAGCTAATGCAGAGGACAGAAGGATCTTGCTCAGAAGTATCAGCCTTAACACTTTGGTTTATATGCTGTCCTCCTCCTTAGGCAAACCAGGACCTAAATTTTGCAGCAGTATTTTAGGGCATGTTGTAGCACCAGCAAATTGGAAAGTAAATAACCGCTACAATCAGCCCCGGACTGATACAGACATCTCTATTTTATATTGATCTTGTTTTGTAGGTAATAAACACCAAGGCAGTATTGAATTACTATAAAATATGACCTGGTGTAATTTGTAGTGCTGTTGGCAAGTATGAGCCAATTCAAGGGGAATTAAAAACAACTGCATACTTTTTCCTCTCTTTTTCCTTTTAAACAATTAGTGTGCATTTAACACAGCCTGAACAAGTGGAGGCAAATCCATCTTCAGTTTTAACTTGCAGCATGACTTCATGAAACACTTCTTCCTATCCTTTAATCTACTTAGGCCCTTACATTGCAGAGTCTGAGTCATATTACTTAAAGGCAGGCACTGATTTGCACCGGCACTACATCTCAGGAGGTAAGGAAAAGATCCACCTCATTCCTAATAGGGGTAAAGGTTGAATTTTAATCCCTGGGAACTGGGCTGTTTTATTTATTTGACTGTGGAACAGGCTCTGCACGGTGGCTCAGCACATCCTGATCTCACTTGGGCTCTCCAGGGGCTACTTTAGTCCCATGAGTAATTGCAAATAGCTCAGGCTCACCCTTCTAAATACAACCTTGGCTCTGACTGAGCATTAAAGACAAGGGGGAGCATTCATTCTGGGAAGGTTTTATTTCACAAATAATTCAGAAATCAAAAGAAAACAGAGGGAAAAAAAGATATTTTACAATTCTGTATTTAGAAAAAATTATAGTTTATAAACACACTGCCCCTTGAAAAACATGCAAAGGCACACAAAAATTTACAAGAAACTTTTATACATAGAAAGTAGTAAAATACATCATTTTTCATAGAAAAAAAGCAACTCTATGAACTGGCCCTAAATATTTAGACTGCACAACCAACCACGTACACGACTGGAGAATCTTCAGTCGGCTGTTGGCCGAACCACTGCTGACTTCTTAAAACAGATGAATTGCGAGGGCTAACCAGACTGTGACTGCGCCCACTGGCCAGGAGGCAGAGAAGTAACACACTTCGGTTTTTGCATTTTTTCCAGAAATCCAGCTCTGCTGAGCCAGATTCAGTGTGCTGGCAGTGACACGACACAACGTCTGAGTTGAGCCTTGGTTTTGGGAAGAAGTTGACTGGGCATGAACGACCACGTGGCATCAGCCTTGCCATGATTAACCAGATGCTTCGCTAAGGCTACTACTTGGGCGCTTAAAGTTGGCACGCACTTTCCTAATCTGCTGAGCTAGGGTCTGAGGAGGAAGGTATGTGTTGATATAAAGGTAAGGACATTCTGTGTCCTTAAGCTGTACTGAAATATATTAAGCTAAGTAAAGTTTTGGTATCATAGAAACAAAATACGTGTCTAAAAACTGGTACTGTCCCACCTATATATGAACAGCTAGCGCACACGATCGAAAGTGATATATCATGACCACCTTGGAGGACCTGATCTCCCCTAATGCTGGTGGAGGTATGTTTAAATTAATAGCACCCAGGACCTCGAATAACATTTGTGTAAAGTCACAATTTCTCTTTTGTACAACAAATATAAAAATAAACAGATACAGACTTAAATAACATCGGTTTCTAAAAATCCAAACCAGTTGGCTGAAGATAAAAATATGCAATTGTAACTTCAATTAGGCATTTTAGGATATTTCTGTTGGAATAATAATTCTTCCTTCGTCCCCTTTTTGTCAGGTAGATACATCCCACGTTGGCTAGATTTTTATATGTGCTCTACGCTGATCCACCAGATATTTCTCTTAAGAACTTTCTCCCCTCTCGCATCTCTTTCCATCATTTTATAATATATCAATAATTGTCATGGACAGCATATTACAGGTGGCATCCTATTTTAGCTCTGATGTGGTTTATGTGCTTTTCAAATCCCCCCTGAAGTCGGTAGAAAGGATTCCACTGGATATCTGCTTGCATCTACTGCACTTTCCGAGTCAAAACTTAGTACTGTGGTTAACATTTGGCCCACAAGGGCCGTGGATTCATGCTGCAGCACTTAATGGGCTTGCGCTGGACCATGTAGAGCATTACTATCCACAACGGGCAGAAACAGGGAAGCCTCATCTCACTGCCAAGATCTCAGACCCTTCCAACCAGCAGCTTTTCTAAGATATATTCCAGCTGTTTTTAACATCAATTTACCTAATAAGAAAAAAAGTTAATTCTCTCCTATCTAAAGCAAATACTGTACACCTTGAAAGACAATACTATATAAACAAAGACAACACATTGAGTCATTCTTCTATATCTGTTCCAAAGGAAGGTTTGCTATGCAGAACTTAACGGAGACAATGCAAAGCAGTCCCAACTTCATGTTTTACAAACGGTTTCTTTCCACATTCAGATTTCACAGAGAAAGAAAGCTCATCTGTGAGGCAAACTGACCGATAAATGCAATTTCCTTGTTGATTTCATGGTGTTTATAGAATTAAAGAGGGGTTTAATCATATAAACATTTTTAGTCTCTGTTTTGAAACAGCTTGAAGACATGGCTTTATATCTTCGTAGTTTAAATTGAATACAGCCTGAGCATAAGAGCAGCTATGAGACATCTGCCAAATAGAGTGAAACATTTTCCCATTTGTTATACAATACTATAATCAAGTTATCGAGCAGAGGGACTATAGGTTTATATGAACTGAAGAACTAAGGTTTATGTTGGCTTCTCATGACTAATGAAGTTACTGGATGTGTGTGCATCGAAAGATGCATGCGTAGATCAAGTCTAAAAATTCATTTCAAATAGAAAGCAAGGAATACTCTTCTGCTTTAAAGAGCAGCTTATGCTAGGCTATTCTTTTGGCTAGTTTTAATTTTTTTAGTCTTTGAAATGCATTTGGATGCTTGTTGAGACATAAATAATAAAATATTAAACAATATCATAACTACACCTATACATTTTGCAAATACAGCACCCTGGATGCCCAGTGCTCCAGGATACAGCATTCGCACTGCAAGTTCTGCAGGTGTCGCAGATCAAATGGAAGAAATTCATCGAGCCCAATTCATTTCCTATATTTAACGTCTCAGGACTGCACACACAATGAAGAACTTCACCAAGGTAAAGCGAACATGCTTCATATGGATGCAACCATTCCTAACAAAAATAAGATTAACTTTATCACTGCTTGACTACTACAGATAAAACAACCAGCACTGCTGTATAAAACAATATACTGCATTTAACTGAAATTTTATTTTTTTTAAATGGCATGTAATATAATATGAGATGTGCCAGCACAGGAGCCCCAATTCACTGACTTCTCATAGATTACCAGACTTAAAAAGTACCTGCTAATGTTTGACCAGCAAACATGAAACCTGCTGTTTGGATTATTCGGTGGCCTTGTCTTCTGCAGCGAGGGTCTCTGCCGTCAACTCCTACTCTACTCCATCCTCCAGTAAACCTCAACATCAGGCCGACAGAAAGGTCCTCTCCCCCACACATCATGCCGTCATGCTACTTAGCTCAATGCAACGCTCCAGCAGCCTAACTCAGTGTTGTTCATACACGTCACCTCGTTAGGAGAAAAAAAAAAAAAAATCACTTTGCTGTTCTTTTACACATAAAACACCAAAACTGACCAAAAACACTCTCAAAGCCCATGCTCTTCCCGAAAGATTGAAAAATGCAAATTTTAAAACTTTTTCCTGTTTTAAAGGGCCTGTTGCCTGGACAGTAGCTCACTACTGAGCCTGCTTGCCTGTGCACGGCATTGGGCATGGACAAGTAGATGCTTCAAACCCAAAATTGCCATCCAAGGGCCAGGCAAAGACCGTCGCCTCTGCTGTATGTTGAGCCACCTCGGTTCTGTGTAGCACACCTCTCTTGTACATTGAAAGTTACAACAGTCTATTATTGCTGAATGCCCCTAGAAAAACAAAAACACGAAACAAAAAGATACAACGCTGAACTGGTGCCATGAGATGCAAACAGCTGAGTCAGAACCTATTGTCTTTTTTTTTTTTCTTTTTTCTTTTTCCTTGTTTAATTCCCTGAAAGAGATCGGCAAGGAGGGTATTTTCAGAGCTGATGCCATCAGAGGAGCCTTCCTGTCTCTCGAGATCAGCGGAGTGCTCTCCCAAAGAAACTTGCACCTTCCCTGGGAATTTACTGCTTCACAGCAAAAATTCGGAAAGCATTTCCATCCGAAGGATTCTTCAGGCTGGAAGAAAAAAAAGAAAGAAAAAAAAAAAGAAATGTAACGAATCAAAGACAGGCACTGCAGGACAGACCTGCAGACAACTCAACGTCTTGGGGTGCCCACACTCAACACGCAGTGTTAATGCCGACGTGGCCCATCGGGAGCCGCTCACGTAAAAGCCTGGCGGCTCAGTGCAGCGATAGAGTGCATAGCAGTGCAAGGAGAAAGGAGTAAAAAGAGAAGAGGCAGAAATCCACAGATTCACATTTGTTTTATGCTTTCGGCCTAGCTCCACGGTGCTGATGCCAACAAAAGGGAAGCAAAAGGCTCTCTGCAGTGATAGCTTTTATCCAAGGGACTCTGTGCTCCCTTCTGCAGAGATTCACGCCTAAGGAGGAACAAGTTTTCCTAAGTACAACTGTCACAGAGGCTGGCAGGCTCCCAAGGCCCATCTGGACCGTTTCCTGATGCTGGCAGGAGGAATAGCCAGATGTGCTCACTTAAAAAGACGATAAAAAAGTATATTCATTTTCAATCTACAATGGTGCCTCCAACAGCTGCTGGAGGTGACTGTATGTACGGGGGCAGGGGATTAGTCCAATTTCCAGACTTTATTTCCTCAGATCTGCTGGCCTGCAACACCTTAGACAAAGGCACAATTTCTATCTTCTGCAGAATTTGCATTCTAACAGGAATGAAGACGCAGCAAACCTTAAAGGCAGCCTTGCCCTGTACCTGCTTGGATATATATCTTTACCTAAGGTTATTTCCAGTGTCCTACAGGATAAGGCTTTCACCTTGATCTTTCAAAGCTAGTCCACAGTCCAGTGGATCCTGTAGCATGAAGGTGCTCCTTATCCCTGAGCGCAAATAACACCTTCCAAATCTTCATACTCATCCCTGCTGTAACAACGTCTTCAGTTTCCCTCGTCTCCTAAATCAGCACCTGCTGCTCATATTACAGGTCACTGCTAGTGGTAAAGTTTATTCTTAGCTGGGCCAGTGTTTGTCATGCAAGTAAAAAGTTTGCTATTAGCGTAAAATATAGAAAAAGGAAAATAGAAGAAAAATCATAGGAACAGGAGGCTTTGGAACATAAACCCAGGCTAAAAGCAAATGTACCAAATTACAACAGATACACTGCACCAAATACTGTTCACGCTGCTGACAAATTCTGACCATTGTGGATCTGTAGTAAAGGAACCTATGCCTCTAGTTTGCCCATCACAGGTTTTTTTTTTCTTTTCTGAAATGCTCTACAGCATTCTGGGATGTTAATTATTAGAATAAAAAAAATCACAAACTCCTTTGGATTTCTTACAGTAGTTATAAACGAGGAACCGCATAAAGCAGACAGCCATGTCAGCAGTGACCAAAAATCACCATGCCTGTGGGGATTTCCGTTTGCAAAGACAGCTTGCAAACGGTTTGAGGAATCAGTGCCATTATATTAACATCTGAAAAATATATCATAAACTGAACTGGAAGTGGTGAATCAGGAAGGACTGAATGAGCTGAGATTCAATCATTACATTTGTCATTACATCATACATTTACATGTATTCTGAGGTACAGAATTTTGGAAGCACTGAATTGCAATTATTCACTGAAATCGGCAAAGTTAGACCAAAAGAAACCGTAGGGAGTTACAAGGTGGTCAACTTCATCTTCAGAATCTCTCAAGAGATTCATTTACTTAATTTCCTCTGTACTCTTGTGGAAAGAGGTTTAACAGCTACAAAAGCATCTTACACCCCAGAATTCAATGGGGTTCTGTCCTATAAGCCTCAAAGCATGAGTCTTTAGAATTTATTCCCTAAACATTGTCCAGTACTAACCAGTGTAATAATTAAAGGAGTGAAATTCCAGCACGATGCACACACAGTGAAATGTATTAATATGGACTCATACTGTAAAATCTAAGGTACTGGGGAAAAAAAAAAGGGCTTAACAATATTCCTTACCTTTCAACACTAATCTGAAAGTAGCCACTCACTTGTGGAAGGTAGGAATAGGACAACACGCTCTATTTATTTGCTTCTCAAAATTTGCAGTGACATTGTTAGGTCGCGTATTTCCAACTCACCACCCTGACTAGCCGATATCTGCTGACTTTGACATATAATTGAACACATAATCAAAAATACAAGAGAGGAAAGTACAAAGAAGAACATCTACCTCTCAGATTGGACCCCATTCTTTAAGGAGCCAACATAACTTTTCTTCTTTTCTACAGGCATCACATCCACAAAACCACCTTCTTCATCTGGAATGACTCCTGCATGCACTGCTGTTTTGCAGATACTGGAGCTCTGAAAAATATTTAATTATTTTAACTTACAAAACATCTATATTTTATATCTGGGGATCCCGATTTAGCTTTTACATCAGTACCAAAGAATAAAAAAGACAGACATATGAAAGAGGCATGAAACACTTCTGTCCCTCTTACGGAGGGAACAGGAAGAAAGATGTCACACGCCAGAGTCTGCGGATATGTCACAAGCCCCAGTATCAAACATAAGTGAAACACCTGCAAAAGGACCCACCACAGCAGAAGGCAAGCAGCCTTTCCACTGTACCTTCCTGCCATGGAGCCACATCTGCGATGTTATCTGGGACCAAAGCTGACTCAAGGACAACTTTCTAGCCAGTGCCTCCTGCTCCTTGTGCCTGCACCAGAGAGCGGCGGTGACACCTCTTTGCTAGTGACCAGCCACCCCTACAAGCTCATTCACCCTGCTGCTTGAAAAGCAGACACTTTCACTGAATTAAGCTAAATGACCGGTTATCTGGAAAGTTCACATCCTCCTTTCTAGGAAAGTCAGATGCACTGCACCCATTGAGCGGTCTAGCTTTCAGACAGCCAGATAATCCATTACCCTGTAAGACTACATTGAGCCTGAGGGAAATTACAACCTCTGAAAGGACTAAAAACCCCAGTGCACGCTGCTCTCTTACCCTATTCTACTCAATGCACAGTTAGAAGTGCTGGAGGAGCACAAAATACGAAGAATGATGACTAAGTGTCAAAAGCATCCAGGAAATAGAGTAATAGCAGAGAACACTTAGGCATAATATAAACTTGGCGATCAACCTGCTAAAGGATTTATATGCAGCTAGCTGGAACAGCAACAAATAAAAATCAGTCCTAACACAGAGAACTCCAGCAGGTGAAAATCCTAAACTCATGAACTGCACGATCACTAAAACTAAAAAAACCCAAACTACCACAGAATCTGCAATGCCCTGGCCAGCGCCGAGGGCAAACATTCCCATCGTCCATGTACAACACAGAGCGTGCTGTTTCTCTCCCTCAGCCTTATATGGGAGATTTGCCTTGTCCCCTATATATTTATCACTCTGGATCGCCTATCTCTTGGCAGCTCTTGCAGTTTTAATTGCCAATTTGGTGTTTTGCTTCTATATATGGTCAGGGGAGCAAAGGAACACTGTGTTTGGAAGATACTCTGTGAATTTGCCCTAGTATGCAATGGGAAATCTGTAAATCTAAAATTGGCTCATAAAACTAAACCATCCTGGATCAATTTGCAACATTCTCCACTGGGAAACATCCTAAACGATGTTCCTATCAAAGCATCCCATTTTTTCCAGGACTTGCTGTTCTGCTGCTTACTCAAAGCTTTGACCAAAAAGCTTTTTATTCCCTCACCTATACCCTCCCTTTATCGCTGTGTTGGATTACCGCCTTCTTCCATGCCAGTCCAGGATGTACTTTAATGAGTTGCTTGCAGAGCCTTTGGAAGATGAGAAATACTACAGGAATAAAGGCCTTCCCCCTCAACATCAGAACTATGTCAGCAGCACCGCCAATGCAACAGCTTTCCTTAGTGCAGCCCTTTGTGTCCACCTCAGCACTGCACGAGTCTCCTGGGGTGCTCTTGGGAGCATTTCCTGAAGAAGTGAACTCTGAGGCCCACACCATAAAACTACAATACATTTTATAGTAGGCTATTAGCAATAATCAATGACTATGAACTAAACTCACCTGTAATTACCTCATTAGCATGACTGGTTTAATCATTACGGTTTATTTCTCAGGAAAGCTGAGCAACCCAACTTGGTTTCCTCCAGTGATAAAATCTGCCTTGTTGTGCAAGCAACCTATTCTCCTCTAAAAGCCTCGTAAATGAAAGTGCTTGTGGAGAATGTATCAGTCTCCAGAGCGGAGAAGTATCTCCGCTCAGGAGGGTCCTGAATGCAAATGGGACACAGGCTTCCCTTGAGGGGATGTCACACCTGGAGCCAGGCAGCATGTGACCTTATACATTTACATTTATACATCTCCCAATGCAACGGTGTTTTGTGAAACTTAAAAGCTCTTTTATAGCTTTGATAAAGATCGCCAGGTGCTCGCACAGCTCCAGCATTACCTCAGAACTGCTCCTCTCTGCATGAGCAGAAGTTCAGTTTTATTTCCTAGGCCCATGCAGGCATTCATGGAAAATGTCCATTTTTTCCCCACTTTTACCACTGGAAAAGTCAACCATGCATGCTCGGACACTTATATGTAACCAGCCCCACAAAAGCAGGTACCTCTGACCATCCCAGGGATGCTCCCATCATCTGCAGTGCAAACCCACCTATGACATTACCAACAGTTACAAACCGAAGATCCCTGCAAACACCATAAAGCAGCAAAGTGCCTTTGAAGATATGCTTTTACAAGTCACTCTTGAACAACCTACTTTCGGTACTTGTCTGCCTTAGCAGGTAACCCAGGGCCCCTGACTGAGGCTGAATTTCTAGTCATCTACCCACTCCTGGAAGACCAGCTGCCTCTCCGTCAGCTGTGCGCCAGGAGAAAAGCACACAGACTCAATTTTGTCTAAAATTTGGCAGCGTAAACAACTTTTCCCTTCCCTGCAATGCAACACCAAAGAATATAGGCAACAACTTTTCTATTCCCTAGTCAGCCGCTTCTCACCATTAATTTCAGTGCTGAAAGGATTTTGGACACGATTCCCCCATCCCATGAGCCACTTGAATCTGTAAACTCTGCATACAGGCAACAAGTCTGTTCTCATGGAAAAGTAATTCCATTTAGTGGATAGGCCTGGAATCTGGACACACACTTTTCCCACAACAGGTTTTCTTGCATTTTGTTCATGCTCTCTTGCCCCAAATTTCAAGGCTCCTCTATGGCCCTGTTCCACAGTCTTATTAACTTTCATCATGAAAAATTTCCTGTACTTCTTTTAAAGCAAAGGTTGCCTATACCTCTTGTGCTTTAGGCCACCAAGTATACCTATAAGAGAATCCTATTGCTCTGAAAAGTGTCCAGTTACTATCTATAGCAGGGACTGGGGTGGGGGGCCTTTCAGGCCTCCTGTAAGACAAAATGGACCAGTGGTGAGAGAGTCGGACTCTCTGAGCCATATGAGGAAAAAAAAGGTCAAACTATTTTATTCACAAAGTGGCTTCATTTGTCTCATTTAAAAGAGCAGTTAGAGACCTGCTTTCTGAAAGACCATGGCACTGCTTTTCCTGCTCTGGAATGATTTATCAGTACTGCAAAAAATCCTGATTTCATGAGCTAGGTTTCTTCTTGTACTCTTCGCTCCTGTGATTTGCCATGAACCTTTCGCGATTCCTAGCTACCGTGTCTCAGCAGAGCATTTGTGGTCTTATTCTGCCACTGGGCACAGCTACCCAACTTCACTAACTCCTCAGCTCCCCACGCTGTGTCAGCCTCATCTCTTATGAAGGCAAATTTCCCAGGCCTTTGAAGCATAGTTTAAAATAGCAGTATTACTCTGATAAGTTTAAAAAAAAAAAAAGATTAGAATGCATAGAAAGTGGATAAACACAAGCTGAGATAGTGGTTCCTATGCCTCCTAAACAAAAATCAGAATTATTTCGTAAAAAATATCAATTCTTCATGTCATAGCTTTGTTCTTTGTGGCAAAGCAAACTTTCACATGCCATCCCAGGATCGTGCAAATATAGAAGCTATCTCAGGCTGAAAGCTCAGTGAATCGGATACAGTTACAGGGACCAGTCAAGTATTTTTGTCACCACTGCTTGGACTATTTACTCTTTAGTTGCCAGAGCATTTTGAAAATTAATGTGTTGGAGGAGCTGCCACGGGGCCAGAGGGCACCCTGGAAGGGAGCACAGATTTGAGACAGGGCAAAACGCTTCATTTGCTTTTAGATAACTTATTAAATGAGACACAGTTGGGGCACAAGTCCCCCCAGGGCCATGAAGGTGCCACTCCAGCTGTGAAGCCAAAGAGCCCTCCCAGAAGACTAGCACTTGTCTCATCCTGTTTATTGCCTGCTTTAATTATTTTTCGGACTCCGGCTTCGGTTAATTCACAGCATCCCCTCCTGGAGGGCATTCTGCACAGTCAGCGCTCTCTGTGGGAAAAGGCTTTGCCCAAATTCCCACTGCACGGCATGTGCGTTCCTCTTGTCAGCTTTCCAGCTTCCGAATTTATCGTCATCAATACCTCTCCCCTTGCAACGTGTTTCACAGCCTCCTCAAATTCTTTTTTTTTCCTGCAGGTTTCTTCTTTTCTTTCTTCCCCTTCACTTTTTTTTTTTTCTTTTTGCTACCAGTTACTCACTCTCCTAATACTGTAAATGCTTTCCTTATTAGACTCTCACCATACTATTGGCATAGTAGTCCACAAAAAGGTTAACCAGACCCTTCAGGAAGTGGCCGAATCCTCTCTTTTCCCCCCCAAATCACATTCCGTGCTTCAGCTTATGAAACACAATACCCAGGGGGTAAGGTAGGAAATGGAGCTTGTGATTCATTAAAGGACACTAATCCTTTTGCGTCAGTACAAATCAGGAAACGATACACGACTGGGATGGTGGCACTCACCTAAAACCCCTGTAATCTCAGGCCTCACTCGGAGCTAATCTGAGGGAGTTTTCTCCTCAGTAAGAGAAAGAGAAAACTATTTTCCACTTACTGCAGGGTCAGAGCATACGCAGGTACCACAGGACAGCTATAAATTTGCATGTCAGCTTGTCTACGGTAACTTGTTTGTGTGGCCCTACCCTTAAAAATAAGTTGTCTTGAGTAAAATAAAAGTTGTTTAAAAAGCACTTTCACACTGGCTTTCCCCATTTGTTTTGTAATAAATTTTCCCCACAACGTTTTTCTCAGGAGTCTGAAAAGCTCCGTGACGACACTGAGCTGCCAGAGTGAGACCCGCTCACCACGTACAGGCAGGTTTTCATGTGCTCACCAGGACCTACAACCTGCTGGCTGCTTCCCCAAGGCCTTCAGAAAGCAAGTTCCTACACACAGACCCAGGAGATGACGTTTCTAAAGGCAGAAACTCTAATGGGAAAGGAAAAAAAAAAAAAAAAAAGAGGTATGCACAAATGGAAAAAGCATTGAAATAAAGGTTTTGCAGGCTAATGTTGAGACATTTCAAAAAAATGACTCTCGACCTCATTTCAGCATCAAGTCTCTGCTCATCCCCATGAGCGGAGTTAGGAAAAACAAACCAATAGACCTGACTCGCATGCTTTCTTCCCGCTGCACTACGCTGCGTCCCAGCTGTTCCCAAACGCTACTCAGCTCCAAGACAGAGGAGGACAGGGAGGGGGAAGATAGGCTGCTTATGCCAACTACCGAGTACGGAAGCACATGTAATAACACAAGCCCTTAGGTTGTCATCTGTGACCTCAAGGCACCTGACAAAGGGGGACAAGAGCGATCGTGGTTTCACAGACAACGGACCTGAGGCAGAGGGTGGTTGAGTGACCTGCCAAAGACCAGAAGAGCAAGTTGGTGGCAGGAACCACAAGGCTCCCAAGCCTGTTGTCCCAGTCGATGTGGTAGCGCTTGTGCCTGTTGCTAACCTCTGCGGTACACCACAGCCCACAGCGGATATGTCCGGCTAACACCAGTGCTGCTGTTGCACTGCCACTTCCCCAGCAAGTGGGACGCATCTCCACGACCGAAAAGGACTCTCTCCATCCTGCATGTCAGCTAGCACGGCAGGATTATCCCCGCTGAGGGTACATCATGGCATAGGTAGAGCCATCTCACATAGACTTATCTGTGACACGATGCCGCAAGAACCTGGAAAGCAACACTTCAGGGACTACAGCTGGCTCCACATGGACCTACCCTGGCTTTGCCCAGAACGCAGTCTTTTACCCAGGCTGCCGCTGCCCCACTTGTCCCAATCTATTCTTTGGGAGACCAATGTAACACTGGTGGCAAGAGTTCTTCCCCATTTATCCCAGCCCAAAATTGCAACAATCAGGTAAAGTTTGACCTCACGTGTAACTCGTGCCTTCCTAATTTGCAGTCCCCCATGTCCTTTGGGGACCCCATCACTGCAATCCAGACTTCGTGCCATGCCTGTTCGTCAAGGAAAGGAGCATACTCACATCTGCGTAGACATTAGTGCCAAACACCGGTGCCCAGTATGATGGCTCGTCTTTACAGTGGGCTGGACAATAAATCCTAGAAAACAATTTATTCATATTTATTCTCTATATAAAGGCTCAACAGGAAAACAAGTTGCATTCTTGGAAGATTTCAAGTGCCTGCATCTGGTCTGCAGGTGGCAACAGTGAATCTAATTACTTGTTCCCCTCAGATGACATTTGGTAGTTACTGCAGGACTGCAAACAGAGATTTTTTAGATCAGTAAAAGAGGGATTGATCTTTTATGACATTTTCAAAGGGGAGTTTCTATGTTTCTGCACAATGCTGTGCACCCAATTAGTCGCATGTGTTCGTTCCCCCTGCACTGCCATCACTTACACCTGCACAAAACAGCTTTCTAGAACAAAGTTCTCCCGCATTTTAAGATGAAAAGGAAAACCTTAAAAAAGAAAAAAACCAGCAAGTGCAAGAGAATAAAGGCAGCGCGCGAAGCTGCACACCCATACCCAGCAGCTTGCTGAAATGGATCACTTCACCTGGCTTCTTTATGCTACCGAAAGAGCTGAGAAACTTAGCATGGATTTTATATCACGAAGTTGGTGTGCCTGCCCATGCTGAGGATATGCTTGGGGGAAAAGCCTGGCTGCAGGAGGAGACAGACCGTTCTTGAACCCTTTCTCCAGCTCATCTGGCATAACCTGCTCCTCTTCCTTTAGCCCCCAGATTCAGATATCTCCATGTCGCTGGCCCTGCTTTAACCTGCCTGTCCCTCCAGCAGTGCAGATTTAAGCTGAACGCAAATAGGGTTGTGCTTGTGGCATGCCGTTACCTTGGGCAGTGGGTCGCCGGCTTTTTGAACTGGCACAGTTCAGCTACTGTAGTATAACAGTCCAGCGTCTGCGCTGCAGAAATAAATACAGAGAGGAAAATTATTAGGGCTGATAGCTTGAGCCTCAGTCCCGCAGCACCTCCAACAAGCCGTGCAACCAGCTGAGGGCAGAGCTGCAGCCAGAAGGAGAGCTGCTTTCTGCTTTCAGGACAGCACTGAGGAGAGGCTCTAAAGCTCTCCAGCAGAAATCCAGGTAGGTTACTACAGCACGGTCTTCAAAAGGTCACAGCTTTTGAAAGAGGAAAGCAGCTAACCCACAAGATTGGTGTATTTTTGCTATAGCTACGTAGATGCCGGACTTGGAGTCTAAATAAGCTGACACCTCAGATTTTACCCTAACATAGCTCAAAGGGACCTAATCAAATGAAGATTATATAGAGGAGGAATTACTCAGACTTATTCAGAAAGTGAGAACTGTTTAAATAGCAGTAACTATGGTGACTCACGGTTGTAAACTAAATTCATACGTATTATTTTATATGTTTCAATATACTATTGCACGATTACATTATGTACTTTTGGAAACTACTTTTTGCAGGTTTTGTACAGTGTTCGCACAAGAGGGAGGCTTTCACACAAGGATGGCTGACCTTCCACCATCAGCAGCTCCTGATGCTGCAGCAGATGTTTAGACCTGACCATTATTCACCACCAAGAGATGCTGCCAGAAGTGGCCAGTTACCACACTGTTCATCACCCTGCTCCTAGCTCCCCAGGGACAAACGAGACGGTTGATGGTGAAATAGCCCCTATTGGGCAATGGATTGCAATGGTAGGACTCAGCTGTGACGTCACTTCATTTGACATGATCACTTAAAATGGAAGAGAGTATTGTATGGAATGATATTTTCACGTATGCCATAAAACTCTTGCAATAATGGTTTCTCCTCAGCTTTATAAACTTACTTGCGACTTTGGAAACCATGAAGGCATTTGAAGGCTTATTTTTCCTATAAAACAAGCAAACAAAAAAAGAGTATTAAAAATATGTGTACTATAATTACTTAAATTACTCTGTCCATATATGAGTAACAAAGATGATGCAATAACTGCTTATATTTAAAGCAAATACAGAGATAAGAGGGTTGTTTTTTCCAAAAAGGTGGTACCTAAAAGATTCTACGCCGTTTCTGGTGGACTTCACAAATGCCGGCGTCCTCCCCTTCCTCGTGATATCAACCAGGCCTCCCTTGTTGTCTAGGATGCCGTAATGAATGGCAGCACGACATATGCTCGATGACTGAGAGGAACAGAACAAATGGAAATAGAAATAGATGAAATAGAACTCAATCACGGGGCAACAGTGACCAACAGCTGTGTAAAACAATAAGAAATAAAACCACCACCAAAATGCCAAATGGAAAATAAACTGAGTAGGTTCCTATGGAATCTGCTGTTAAGCGCTACCCTTCCAGCATAACCTTACTCATTTTTTCTCTTCTAAGCACTGCTTGGTTGAATGACAAGCTTTTTTAAATGGCAAAACCAAACATTTAGAGATAATTTAGAAGAAAAGGAGTATTGGAAATTAACTGCTCGTATGAAATATTTCCAGTTCTCTACTAGATGCTGAAACCCAATATATTTCTGCTGAAATCGCTTGGAGGCGGCTATTGTCTGCAGTCACGAAGCTGTACGGCAACAGCGTGTCCTGGGCCATGCCGTCACGCACCTGCGGCGAGAACGGGCAACGAGGTTGGTCCAGGGAAAGCACCATCAGTGCACTAGTAAAAGTATCTGCGACTGGTGGTGTTTGGCTTGATGCTAAAAACTTGGAATTTCAAGCAGAAAGCGAGCATATTAAAAAAAAAAAAAAAAAGACACAACACACACTATTTCATCTTCAACCTTTTTTTCACCCCAAAAGTAGCTCTGATGGGAAAACACCACCACGTTTTATAAATTACGTTGCTCGTTCAAGATCCATCAGATCATTCCGAAATATTCTTTAGCTATGGTTTTTAATGGTGTTTTTAGTATAGAGGTTCTGTCCAGTATGACAATTGCCTGCACTACAAAAAAGATCCTAAAAAGAGTTACTGATCTCTGTCCCTCAGCCTCCATGATTTTTCATTGCACATTAAGAGCATTCATGACAAGATCAAGTCTGGAATCACTTCGTCTTTCCAGACTTTTTTTTTTTTTAATCCCTAAGATGAAGAAAATGCATATAATCTTTATTAGCACATTTCATAGCACCACAACTGGAGAATTTGAAACGCCAAATTACATTAAAATAGTTGGCATTTCCCATTTCTGTTATTACCACTACCTCCCCACAAATTACATCTATGAGCTATTAAAAGGTACTTACACTCTCATAATAGAATGTTCCAAAGATCTTTCCCTTACTGTACAGGCAGCCAGCTGGGCACAGATACCTAGTAAAGATATATATCTTTGAGGGTGGCAAAAAAACAATTCAAGAAAAACAGACTTTGACTCTATTTCATTTAATAGTCATTCCATTCATTTCACGTAATTCTTCCATTTAAAAACAAGATTGCAAAATAGCTACTTTTTAAAACTGTTTCTCCACCCTCCTCAAAAACCCGACCAATATTTAGATTCTGTGGATTTGGTTTTTCTCCAAGTGATAAACTGTCTCGTTCTTCGCAGAAACCTTAACCAGAAGTTCTTGACTGGCTGGGGGGGGACGAGCCATGAATTATTGGTCTGCCTTGGACAGGAATGGAACGCAGCAGAAAGGTTCAAAAAACAACTCTGCCAAACTTTATTAAATGATTTTGGACACCTGGACCAGTGGGTTATCATGGCTGCATAAAATAGACTAAGTCACCTCACTCCTAAACTTGCCTGAACGCTTTGTAGAAAGAGAATGAAAGCTTTTTCAAGGCCTTGGGTAAACCCCTTGAAAGGACTTACCTAGATAGTCATAAAAACGTAGTACAGGCTCTCCCCTGTTTGCGAGAACCTACCAATTTTTAGACTGCTTTTTCCCGGACCGCTCCAAAAGATATCATTGAAACACTACCTGTTGCATGTTGAGCCTCTGCATTTGTCCCTCATCTTGGTTTCACAGGTAATGACTTGTGCTGGGGGGAAAAAAATATATATATATGTACATATATTAAACAAAACGTGAGGTGCAAGAGGAAAGACTGTGAGGAAGAAAGTGCCAGACAAAATCTGGTCACAGACTGGGCAGCACCGGCAACCTGAAGCAGTTCGTGCCTCTTCAGCCTTTCGCGTATGAGACAGGTATTTTCTTAAATATTAGCAGGGAAGAAACATTGGACAGCAGAAGGTTTTGATTTACAGCCCAGGGTCTGCAGCCAGAGCGCTCATTCTCCGTTTAATTACAGGCTCTCAAGACGGTAGCAGACGAACTTGAAAAGGATGCGTTTCTTCACCTCCCCTCATTTTCAGGATAACAGTCTTTTAATTAACAACGGTTAGAAAACAATAGAGGAAGCACTATCAACTCCACAAATAACTTCAGAAATCTTCCCAAGCAAGAAGCAAGAAAGAAAAACAAACAAAGTAGAATCCCCAGAAAAGTTGTGAGGAGGGTCGCTGTTGAGTTTGGTATATTTTAAACGTGACATAAAACCAACATTTGCTGAAGTGACTCCTAATCTGGGAACCTTCAGCTCATTGACGCTTGCTCAAGAGGTCTTAAAAGGCAGCACCGGCGGCAAAGAACGAGCCAACGCTGCCGAGCGCGACGCGCGGAAGGGCACGAGCGGCTTTTGAAAGCTTTGCTCCCCAATTCTGCTATAACTAACTGCAAGTTATCCACAGATCACCTTCCCTCTCCACTCAAACGTCCTCCCAGTTGTTTTTGTTTTTAACTGACCCTCCACGTAGCTTTCCACACCTTGCCCTATAGAAGTGCTTTAAAACTTAGGGGAGCTGAAAAACAAAAATATTGTCTTACTCATGTAGCTGTTGGAGGTGGTTTTCTTGGTCTTGACTGGTTTGACGGGCTTGCTCTCCAGGTTGGGGAACCATATGGGTTTGTGCTCTGCCAGCTGTGAAGTCTCCACTTCATTGGTCTCATCTGTCTCAGGGATTATGGTATCTTCATAACGATAATCTTATTAGAAGGGGAATTAAAAAAAATAATGGCAGCACGTTAGTATTAACAAGAAAGGCAAACGAGCTCATATGCTGAAGGAGATTATTTGCTTTGACAAGGATCCATTTTTAAATAGCTGGAAACTTAAAATGCAAGTTAAACATGGCACAAGGCTATTGCCAAGGCAGGTATCGCACCAGGAAAGGAGACTGGATTTTCCGGCAGTCGCTTGCTCTGCACATAAAGCAGCGCATACACAGCTTAACCATAAACGGTTGCAATGAGCCCCACTATTTAGAGAACAAAAATGCACTGATATTTCTACTTTTCCAACCTGTTTCCAGCTCTTTCTCTCCAGAGGGAAATAAAAAAAACACAAATTTGCTGGAAGTCTACTAAAAAGAGAACCTTAGTACCTGGGAAGGTGGCTAAAGCTCTTCAAAACCCCCCCAACAGCCACAGCCTCATCCTGACCAGCGGTGAAAGAAGGGTCTCGCTGCAGCCTAATCCCTGCTGCGTCACAGCTCCATAGCCGTGGAGCTGCTGTCCTCCTTTTTACCTCCGCTAAAGAACAAATCCACTGCTGTTACAGGTGGGAAAAGGGACTCTGGAAGTGGTGCCAGCTAAATTCATTGCACCTGGCCTGTCCCATCTGAAACCCTACGCCGCGCTCGGCCTCAGCAATGAAAAGAGGAACGGCGCAAACAAGCGGATGATGGATGGCTGGAGTCTTCCAGAGGAATTTCTCCCTCCAGCTGCTCAACCAGCGTGCTCCATCCCTCTGTCGGCGGCATCCACCTGCGCTTGCTTGGCTTTCCTCACGGTCCCTGTGCCCCCGGATTAAAACGACAAATGCACTGCAACAAAACGAGCCTCCGCTTTGGGTGAGTTTGCCCATTTAGAGGAGCCCTAGTTCTTCATGCAATAAAACTCATAGGGGGAAAAAAAGAGACTCCCTCAACACTCAGCCCGGGTAAATCCTCTGCCCTAGGGGAATTAGAGCTGCTCCGCTGGAAATTTCAGCATTAATAGTATTTTTCACCCTTGCTTTATAACAACCTTCATTCTACGGGAACTCCACGTGTCAGAAGACTGTCCAGGATCCCCCCTTCTCCTCCAAGAAACAGGAACCGCTGTATTCGTTTTGCAGCCAGCAAACCCACGGCGGAGGAGAGGGAAATGCTCCGTCCCAGGACCCAGAAGGAGCAGGGCAGGCGGCCAAGGCCTGCCCACCCACATTGCCGCTGGAAACCGCGGGAGAACATTCCCTTCCCAAACAAACCCGGCAGGACGGGATCGCTCCTACCCGCAGCCTTCCAGAGATCAAAATCCCGCCCGAACGCGCGAGCCAAACCGATGTAAACGCAGAGCAACGTCCCTCCGTCGGAG